CTGTGAGTACTCACCCTTAACTTGGCATAGGTATTTATAAAATGGGAAAAAAGCCAAATTCCAGGAAAACAATTTATTCTGTTCCATCCCTAAACTTTTACTCATTCATCTGTTATGCTTAAAAATCAATTAGCACTGTGCATACACTGTATCAACAGCTTTATTTAGGATTAACTACAGAGCTGGGCAAATTTAACTGCAATTTTCCCACCAATGATGCTCTAAAAACACGCATGGATTTCAGAGGCTAATGAAGAACTCTTCTCGCAGTGCCATATTTTTAAAGTTCTTGGGCTTTTACTTTGTCTTTCTGTCTTCTGCTGTCTGCCTCCCACCTGCCCTCTCTCCCATCAGTACCAGTAGGATATCATACTTCAAGTTGATTCTTTTGAACTCTCTCTGTTTAAAAAGATTATTAGGAAATAATTATAGATTCAGAGGAAGTTGAAAAGAAATAGAGAGGGAAGTCCCATGTACCCCTGACTCAGCTTCTCCCAATATTAACATCTTGTAAAAGTATTGTTTAATATTAAAAATAGAAAATTGACGTTGGCACAATCCCATGGAACTTACTCAGATTTCGTTGGGATCGACTTTTTAACTAATAATTACATTTGGTAAGCATCAGTTAATGATCACAATAAAGGCTGGAATTCAGTTCATGTGTGTGTATTTCAGTGTGGGTTTCTGTGTATCCATTTCTGTGGGGGCGGGGGGAGGACAAACTCTGGCCCTATCCATTTCATGCTCGACTGTTCCGAGGAACAATTGGGAGAATATCACGTAAATGCCGTTCATAAACTGTAAAGTACTAAATAAACAGAAAGTATTATATTGTAGTAGATTTCTAATCTTTCTGTTCAGGAAAAATCTCTCATTAGTAGTGTACACAGAGAGTAGATGGAGCCTACATCCTAAACAATTCCCTTCCTTCTTTAACATTTCATCAGATACAGGACTGCTCATCTCTGGATGAAGTTAATTGTTCTCCACAAGGATGGAACCAGGACTGGAGCACAATGGGGTGTGAGCTGGATAGCACATTCCAGAGCTGGACCGGTCTCCTTCCATGTCTGTACTCTGTATTTTATTAATGCCCTGACACTCACATCAACATGTTTTTGTGGGGTTTTTTCCCAACTTCCCTCATATTCCTCTTGAAATCAACTGAAATTCCCAAGCTTTTTTTTTTTTTTTTTTTCCTCTCAGGTTTTGATGTTTAGCCATTCCTCCCTGATTTTGCACATAGATAGTTGTTTTCTGGGCACAGGAGCAAGACTTCATGTAGATTCTCATTAAATCAGGCCTATTCTACCATTCTACTGAGATTTTTTTTATATGTATCTGGACTCTATCACTAAATTTATTTACTGTCTCTGCCGGCTCCACATTGGCTCCACCCTTTACAAATGGTCCTTTAGTCCTTTCTTAAAATTGCTGAAGACATACTTGTGCATAGAAGGGTGAAAAGGAGATCATTAAAAAGCTATAAATTCGAACTGTAACATTTTGACCTTCTGTTAATGTTAAATTTTAATTAAGCACTCAGCTCTGTTTTTACTGAGGGTTGACATAAGAGATAGCCCTACACAAAAGGCCTATGTATTTTCTAGAAAACTGTATTAGGTGATTCGATGTCTCATTTGTAAGAATCCTATGGGAAATTTCTCTGGAGCTCAGGTTTAGAAAAAAAAATTTTTCCCTGCAATGATAGCTGAGCTGGTATGAGTTTCCTTCTGTTTTATCTTCCAAGACACTAAGAGAGAAACTGAAAATCACTTGCTCAATTGCTGTACCTTTTCTTTATTTCTATTTATTGATTTTTCCTTCTTTCCATCATCCCACTTTATTACCTAACATGCCATGTTAATGGTTCTGTATATACATATTTTTTTTTTTTACCAGACATTATGACATATCCTTTCTAAAAGGAGGCAGGGAATAGAAACAAACATACATAATCAAGACATCTTTTCAAATATCTTTTCAGATGTTTAAAGATTCCACGGAATAATTTCTTCACTTTTTGAGTAGGACTTTAGGAAATGTTCCCCAGAGTACTTGTACTGAAGTAGTTTAGGTTTGCTTCAGCCCTTCAGATCACTTTTTTCTAAATTTTTTTTCTCAGTTTATAATGACATGTTCTCAAAATCTTCCACAGTAATTTCCCCAAATGGTACTTTAAGGTGTAAAGAGAAATAATTTGATCATTTGCTAATCTTTTCTCTTTTTTAGCTCTTCCATTAAAGGGTTATTGTTTTTTCTTTAATTAAGTACTTCTCTCTGACTGAAATTTATACTGAAAAGACTTCTGGATTGGGTGTTAGAAGCCCAGGGTTCTTGCCTGGGATTAACTACTCTTTGCACGGCCAGGAGAAACTCATGAAGTTTCTCGTCTATAGAATGAAAACTACCTCTTGATGAACATCTGTTCAATATTAGGCACTCTTAAAATGTATATAACTTACTTTTAAAAACTTTAAAATATGTAGTTTATAATATGTAGTTTGATTATATGGATGTGCAATATTTGAAAGCCCAATTTTAGGAGCTTAAACCAGGTGGTCAGTAAGAATTATATCAGAAAGGCAATATTCTAGAGCTTGGCCACTATAAAAGCATTTATTATACTATTTCACTGAATAAATGATGCTTTGCTTATTAGCAAAAATATGTCAGAAATGGATTCAAAATTGGTGAAATTAGTGACTCATTAACTACCATGATAAATGGAACTTAACTGGTAAAATTAAAAGTTTTAAATATACATGGAATATTAAAGACTTCTGGAGCCATTCCCCACCTTTGCATGAACAGGGTGCAAAAATCTTAAGGAGGCTCATAGCCCATACCATAGGATTAGTCCTAAGTTTGATATTTCCAACTGCCAGTTTAATAGGATTTCTTGTTGTCTGAGACTGAATGTAAGGGTAACAAAATCCTGGCCCTGGAATGTCATTTTATCTGCCTCAAGTGAACCTTTTTCCCCACGTAATGACTGAAACATCTGAATGGACAGAGAACTAGAATTTCTCCCTCTCCCTCTGCTCCTCCCCACTGCGTGTTCTCTCCTTCTCTCTCAAATAAATAAAATCTTAAAAAAAAATAAAATAAAACAGGCCTGCATGTGTAGCAGAACTTGCCTTAAGATTTACTTTTAGCAAGGCTAGCATTAACTATTATAGGGCTACTGCTAACCCTCTTCAACCTTCTTCAGTAAACACACTTACTTATCAAAGGTGTGTGTCACCAAATTATCACAGGACAGTTCTTAAAAGACACTTTGCCTCATTTTAATCTTCATCAGAGCCCTTCGTTACCACTCGCCTTATTCCAGCTAGGAAATTCAAGTGTGGGGGATGTTAGCTTATAATCATATGAATATTGAGTGATAGAGCCTGATGCATCTGATTCTACTCTCCAATACCCCCTGCAGCCACCCAGATAAAGTCACATGGTCATTGCAAGGAAAAGATGAGAGATTATGAAATGCCTACAGCTGTTTCCTTGCAAATACATGGGTTAAACAAAGGCTCTTTAGCTCCCTTGACAGATAGTTAAAAGTCAACCAACCACCCAGTAAATTGATTTCATTGACATTTATTGTTGCTATATGTATAATCACAATTCCTATTAATGTATTTTTGGCTCTTTTTTGTACTTTTCCTTTTTTTCAAAATCTATACTTTAGATCTTCCCAATATATTCAGATAAACTGTAGTAAATTCATACACTGAGGCACAGAGTACTTTGTGACATAATTGCATGACCTAGCTCTACTGGAAAGTTGGACTCTGAAATGATCAGTTGAAACATGCCTTGAAACAGTCAGAGTTACCTAAAGGTCAACAAGAAAGCTCATCTCAAGCATTGTTACATAGAAAGAAGAAAATGAAATGGTAATTTTAGAATTGGAATGCTGAAGTGATATAGAATATTCGTGGATTGATGATTTTAATGGCCATCAGAGCTCAGCAGAGTTGAATAAGTAGTCTGGGGTTCTACAAAACTACTAGTCAGGCCAAAAATAAAAAAAAAAGGAATAAACAAAATACAAGATACAAATACACAAGAATTTACCCCCTAGTTACCAATATCACATTCCAGATGCATTTTATTTTGGATGTTGTGTTCTAAGCAGAGATCAACATGGTCACAAATAACCCAGATCTAGTTGATTAATTAAAATCTTAAGTTCTCAAGGAAAAGATCTTAGGTGAATACATAGGTAAACATTGATCTATTCTTATTTAAACTTCTGAAATTTATGCTTTTCGATTATTTTTGATGTAAGTAGAAGTTAGGGGGAGAAAATGATTCATTTCAGATAAAGTTATTTCTTTAGCAAGTCCTTATTACATGAGGAGGTAATGGCATCCGAAGAATACAAGGGAATGAAAAAAAAAGTATGTTCATACTTTTACTTTAAAACGTTATATATTTTAATCTACCTTAACTTCATGCCAAAAGGAAAATATATAGGATGAATATATAACATAACCAAACTTTTTTGGGGAAAGAGGCTAATATATTTTTATTATAGTTGTACATTAAGGAATTAGCTGGGCATTATCTTTTTCCATTAAAATCATCCTTCCTCTTTAATTAAAATAAAAAATACAGGGTGAGGAGTTCTATCTTTATTTTTAAAATGTGTGTATTTTTCTATAGTAATTTGAATAAAAAGTGCCTTGGAATTATTATGTTCTTCTAAACATTAAATCCATTAGAGTATCATATGGGGGGAAAATTCTACTAGTTGGGATGATTTTGTGGGATGGTTTTCTAACTAGTTCATACTTATCACCCCCAAACAGATGAAACGAGACACAAAAACTATAAAATGACTGCTTTTTGTAGGTTTATTGTCCATCAATGCTGAGGAAGCTGTTTAGACACAAAATTCTGATTTGTTCTAGGATTTCAACGTTGACTTTAGTAACAGCAGTGGGGGGGAATGTGCTTAGGGGAGAAAAGCTCTGGTTATTTTATGAACATACCACTCCGTTCACTGATAGCAGCTGGTCTCCCCTTTTGAGGCCTCCGTGTCTTTCAGCCACCCCTCCAGGAATGATGCGAGAGATATAAATGGGGGAATTTTGCTCCTTTCCTCCCATCACGTTAAAACCAAGGCCTTCATCAGTCTTTGGCAGTTCGACTACCCGAGGGTGGGAGTGGCCTTCACTAGCTGCAAAAGCTGCAACTGTTGCCTGAAAGAAAAGATGGTCATTTGGTAATAAAATGAGGGAAATAAGGCTCGTCGTATGCTTTGAGTGGGTAGGATCGGGCAACTCCTCTTACTTTTATTAGCATTCTCCTGTGAAAAAAAGAACACAGTGGGGAGGGTGCTAGCTTCATTTAAATGTCATCTATGACTCCGTTCCTTGGCAAAGCCCTGCCTGGCTATTTCCGGCTTTCTAGAATTTATCCATTATGATACAAATTTCCCTTCTTCATAAAACTCTGTCCCAGTTACCTGAGGCAGCTGTAATTCCTCCTTTTCTTGGACTCCGAAATAGCTTTCGTCCACAGACTACATCCTTACGGTACGTCTGCTCTAACTATTCCGTATATGTGTTGACCGTGAGCACCCGAAGGGCAGAGATGATGTAATTCGATTCTTTGTATGACACAGTCTACCCCGGTGCTTGCACATAAACGTTCATGAATATTTATCCAATGTACTTAGAAGCACTTATATGTATAAACTCTGGCGGATACGTATATAATCTTGCTACTGCCAGACCACTGGCTTCGCAAATTTAGTTTTTGGGTTTTTTGTTTTTTGGTTTTTTTTTTTTGACTGAGGATACCTAAAGGAAAATAAAAGCTAAAACAAGTAATAAATTCAAACAGATGATTATTATTTCACATCAATATTTTGCATTATTATGAGAAGTCCTCTTATCTGGTAAGGATGTTTTCCCCTACATTTTACATTAATATTTCAACTCCTATAGCATCGTGGGCAAAATGAGCAGCCTATGGTTCTATACCTACGTGTACAAAATTTCATTTAATATGGACATCGTTTTAAGATTCATATATTAATTTTTAAAAATAAGTTGAAAACACAACTTACCATTAGTTCCCACCCCTCATGGAAAGAAAAGAACAGCATTGAAGTAGTTTCTATCAAGAAAAGATTCTCTGCCTGCTTCTTATTTTCCACTTCCATTAACCTGCCTTAACCACAGTTGATTAGATGCCTACCATAAAGTGATTTACTCAACACTGTGAAAATATTGATTGCCAACTACTGTACATTCTTTTCCACACACAATATTATCACATCAATTGAGCATTATGCTACTGTCTGCATTTAGTGAAATTTAGTGAATGATATGGAAATAATGGCTTGTTTTTAGCTACATGCATTTGCTCATGCAAACCTTGTCGTCATGCACAGATTTTAATGGCTGACATGGATGCAATGCAGACAGCCCAGAAACAACCAGAAAATATTGTGCTATTGCAACATTATGCTGCTATCCTGCTGTTCTACATGAATAAGAAATGAGAATGGTAAAACACTACATAATTCACTTTCCCCTTAATTAAACCATGTAGGGATCATTTTTCTGTGTGTGTTCCACTTCAGTACAAGCAAAGCATGATGTAATGATAATAACAACCTCCTTTTGCCTGGGTTAAAAAAAACAAAACAAAACAACTTACAAATCTACAGTGTTCAGTTACAGAATGACAACTAAAAAATCAAGAGAGAAACCAAACGAGGTGATATAACACAAAAGAATTAAATGGAAAATGCTGATTATTTTCACCAGTTCTTGTTTCTTATACATTATTGGAAAGAGAAGAGCTTTTAACAAAGCAAGTCGTTGTGCATCTATTAGAACACTTCTGTGTTTGTAAAATGAGAACTACATAAGTGATCTTAGTTTAAAGTTTAAAACTATTATTTCCTAATGGTCTATTTTCCAGATAATTTCATGATCCCATCGTTATAAGATTTCTGTTAGTGTAAGATTTCCGTTAGATTTCTCTGCAATCTCTGGATTTGAGTCTTTAAAGAACGAATGTGGTAACTACTACAAAAGGTGACCAGCTTTCCCTTTAGGTCAATGTCACATTCTTTCAGCAAGCTACCCACTGCTCTGCTGAAGACAAGGAAGAATCCTGTGTCAGTGGGTCTCAGGTGAGTTCTCTTCATGTCTGACTCAAGTCAAATCTTTGGACTTGTGCAAATAAATCTTCATGCACTGAACAGGGAACAAGTTCTTTTGGATCAGAGGCCTGTATCAGAAAACCACGTATTATTTCATACAATGAACCAGTAGATTTGCTTGTGCCAAATGGACGTTTAGTGAGTTTAATGAAATCATTCTCCTTTCTTAAGCTACAGAAGCAGCAGAAACGTTCAATTTTCCATTAGGATTTTTACCTGGGAAGTAGTACTGGTTCTAGACTCTGGGCTGCCACTGATGTCTAAATTCTCTTACAGTGTACACACGAGAATACCTGAAACACACACGCGCACAGTCAATTACTAGATCACTGGGGTCAAGTATATTTTCAAAGTTACTCAAGCCTTACCTTTGCTGTGGCCCTGGCACGGAATTCAGGACAGCCATTAACAGTTATCGTTTCATGCATATATTGATACACCTAGAACGTTCACATAAAAAAGAAAGGAATGCGTAAGAACATTAGGAGTATCAATTCTTTCACTGCAGAAAGGATGAAATATTTTCATTGTAAAACACAAGTTCTCGGTCACAAGGTGAAATAGGTCTGGATAAATTATCCCGGTGATTAGGACCAAAGATCCCTCCTATTTTTTTTTGGTGGGGGACGGTTGCGGCAGAGAAGGCAAACACTTTTATTATTTGGGTATCCGTGTTCATCAAATATAAAAACTTGTATATTTGGTTTTATAAAAACTACTTTGTCAGTAAGATTTTTTACCACTTCATAAAGCTCTGTCTCTCAAATATGTGATAAAATTATATATATATAATATATTATATATAACTTCCTGAATCTAAGTAACACTTTAATTCTTTTTTTTAAAGATTTTATTTATTTATTTGACATAGAGAGAGACAGAACCACCCTAAGTAACACTTTAAAAATAGTTTTCAGGGCGCCAGGGTGACTCAGTCAGTTGAGCATCCGACTCTTGGTTTCTGCTCAGGTCGTGATAGCAGGGAGATAGAGATAGAGCTCAACACAGAGTCGCTTGTCCCTCTCCCTTTGCTCCTCCCCTCTCCCCACCCACTCTCTTTCTCTCAAATAAATAAATAAAATCTTTAAAAAATAGTTTCCTAAGTTAATATTCCACAAAACTGGGATAACAATATCTTTTCCTTGCATGTTGTAAGGTATGTTACCATCCATGAGACATTCATAATTCATAAATATAGGAGATAAATGGTATTCAGGGGCAGGGACAAGTAAAACAAGAGATTCTTAGAACTAGTAACAGAGAGCAACATATCAGCTATGGGTTCATGTTAACATTTAAATGAAATAAAAAGAATAGAAGTAAAATCTGGACTCAGAATGATATTGTACAAAGCACACAGTTTTCGCTGACTAATGGACCAAAGTTTGAGACTTGCAGTCTAACTGGGGAACTACGAGGTCCTGGTTGAACCACTTTACCACTTTGACCCTCTTTTTTGCCCATCTGAGAAATGGGTGAAGAATATTTATTATGTTTTTTTACTTGAAATAATACTTTCAAGACCCCTGGCACTTAATGAGCTCTCCTTAAATATCAGGTATTATTATTAATCATGATTTTAGACAAAACTATGAAAATTGTTGGAATGTAGTAGAAAAAAATGCTTTCCTTCTAACTGTCAGGGATGGGATTATAAAATCTGTATATCAGTGCAAAATAAATTGCTTCATCATAAATAAACTTAAGTATAGAGAATAACTCTTAAAGGATAGTTTGAAGATGTTATTTATTTATTTATTTATTTTTAAGTATTTTATTTATTTACTTGACAGAGAGAGAGCAAGAGAGGGAACACAAGCAGGGGTAGTGGGAGAGGGAGAAGCAGGCTTCCCGCGGAGCAGGGAGCCCGATATGGGGCTCGATCCCAGGACTCTGGGATCATGACCTGAGCTGGAGGCAGACGCTTAACGACTGAGTCACCCAGGCACCCCTGAAGACAATATTTAGAAAAAAACTAACAAGGTTAAATATGTTAGACTTTATGCCCATTTTAAAGTTTTAAATAATAAATTGTAAAAATCAATTGTATGATGTGTAGAGGTAAAAGTCCATTTGGAATTTTGCTGGGGTATTTTTTTTTTTTTAAGATTTATTTATTTATTTGAGAGAGCGAGAATGAGAGAGAGAGAGTACATGATGGGGGGAGGGTTAGAGGGAGAAGCAGGCTCCCCGCTGAGCAGGGAGCCCGATGCGGGACTCGATCCAGGGACTCCAAGATCATGACCTGAGCCGAAGGCAGTCGCCCAACCAACTGAGCCACCCAGGAGCCCCATCTGGGGAATTTTTTGAGAGTGACCCATTAGCTATTCAGTAAAAGATGAAGTAGAAAATTAATATTATTTTCCACACTTAAGTAAAAAGTTATTAAAGTGAATTCAGAATGTGATTAATGCATCCATTCAACAATCGCTCTTCGAGTGTCTCAGATGGATCTCTTCCGGACGTTTCTTAGCTGGCTCATTATTTCTCAAATACATTTGGTTGAATTTCCATTAATGCTGACTCATCTTTCCCAAGTGGCATGTTTAGAAGGAAAAAGACAAAGTGGCCTGGACTAGGAAGGTAGGGACACCATTCAGAATCTACCATTTAGCTTTATACTTCACTAAATAACTGGGGTATATAATTTTGGTGAGCAATCTGAATGGGAAGGGAATAGTTTTCCAGGAAAGCATTTGCGCACCCCAGGACTGGTTAATGCAAATTCTGCAGGTTACCAGCAGAGCTGCTTAACATGTTGACACGTTATTTCCTTGAAAGTGCATCACTTTGTTTTGTAGAGCTATCTCTTCCACAAATTAATTCCACTTATTTGATCTTACAGCCCATTTAAGAGCAAGATTCTCCTTACTCTGCTTCTCTTGTTAATAATCTCTCTTAAATCTGATCCCTTCATTCTATCTTTTTTTAAAAATATTTTTATTTATTTGCGAGAGAGAGCGAGAGAGAGTGAGCACGAGTGGGGTGAGGGGTCAGAGGTGAGGGTCAGAGGGAGAAGCAGGCTCCCCGCGAAGCAGAGAGCCCTAGTGGGGCTCGATCCCCATCCCAGGACTCCAGGATTGTGACCTGAGCCGAAGGTAGAAGCTTAACCCACTGAGCCACCCAGGCGCCCCTCCTTCGTTCTATTTTAACTCATTATATCTCTTGCTCAAAACTCTGCATCAGTGTCTTCACTGGGTCTCTCACCACCAAACACTATTGACTTTAGTTATCATTGTTAAGGACCTACCTGACCATGTCACTACTGTGCTTCTGGCTGTCTACAACTCTTAGAGTAAAGGTTGCAAAGTCAAATGCCTACAGGAGTCAAACCAGTGACAATAATGCACAACCCAGGTTTTTCTCTAATTTCATTTCCCTAGTTGTTTTCCTCCACCCTCACTGTTCCCCAAACATATACACGTTCCTAACTGCCTAGACCTTTGCTCTGTTTGGAATGCCCTTTCACCTGCCAGACTCTCATTTATCCCTGTTTAACATGATGCTAAAAGACCCAATTATCATTTTCTCTGTTCCTTGTTCTTGGCCTCCTGCAAGCAGAGAAATCTCTCCCTCCCTCCTCGGTTTTGAACCATTTGAATTTGTCTGGGGTCATTCTGGTGATCTTTTCCAGGGAAAGTGCTATCTTTGCTTGCATCCAAGGATGTTTATGAGGACAATCATTAGCCAACAATTAGGACGATGAAATTGATGAAAGCAAATGCTAATTTTGTAAGTTCGTAAAATAAAGTAAATAAAAAGTTAAGAATAATTATCTTTAACATTGCAATTTGAATTGTGAATTAAAGGGTGGAGTATGCAAGAGGCAGCAGTATGTATAGATAACACACAGGTCCTTCAGACACCACATATGCATTGTATGTTCTTGGGTTGGTTACTTGATTTCATTGGGGTTCAATTTTCTCACTTGAAAAATAAGTCTTAGAGTTGTAACTAACTTCTGGGTCTGTTAAGAGGATTAAATAAGTTTAGAACAGTTTGCAGCATGTAATAAGTTTATTTTAAAAATAGTTATTATTATTACTATTATTATTAATATTCAGTGTTTCCCAACTTATTTGACACTGGGATCTTCTGGGAAGAATCTCCTAGGACTGGTAGTCCATGAACACATTTTAAAGAGAATTGATGGAAGACTGTAGTTCTCAGCTGGGGTTGTTTTTGCACCCTAGGAGACATTTATCTGGCAATGTCTGGAGACATTCTGGGTTGTCACAAATGGGGAGGGGAATGGTGCTATTGGCATCTATTATTAGAAGACCGAGAAGCTGCTAAATACCCTACAAAGCTCAGATTAGCTCCCCATAACAAAGAACCATCTGCCAAAACGTCAATAGTCTTGAGATTGAAAAACCCAGAACTAAGAAATCATGCTATATCATTTCTTCTGATACATAATGATTAGTAGGCCATAAAAAGGCACTTGTGTAGCACTGGGTAAAGGATCTTATAAATAAATAAAAGGGTCTTGTTCAACAAATATCTTTTGGAGTAAATAATCATGATTCTGGTGAGCATTTAAAGAGGACTTGCTCTAGGCCAAGTGTAATGCTAAGCATTTTATATCTGTAAGTTCATTCGATGCTCACAGCTTATGATTCAGGGATTCTACACAAAAGGAACTGGCCACAGAGACCGTAACATGCCTGTAACCACACAGGGAATGGCAGATTTGGTGCAGAGATTCAGATGTAATTGCCTCCAAAATCTTTTCTCTTTCAACCACACAAGGCTTTCTTATTAAGACAGCATCAGACTACTATTATTTTGGCAGCATTGGGGAAACAAAAACGTGGAGATATCACCAGTATTTACTTATATTTTGAATAAAGCCTTCCAGGTTTAATATGATGCCTATCATTATACAAATGGTAACTGCAAATGTATAATACAATTCGGAAACTAACAAATTCATCACTCCAAATGAAAGTGAAATAGCATTTTTAATTGACTTTTATGATTGTAATATGCTAAGATTCAAAGAAAAGAAGTCAAATATTATCGTCACTCTTTTCTCCTGTAAAGCACCACAGATTCTTATCAGTTGGTCTTTAAACACTGGCTGACGTGGTCTAGTTAGAGAGTCAAGTCAAAACTGGGAGATATTAGTTCTATTTCCATTAGTTATGTTGCCTTATGAAAGTTACTTAGTTCATCATTTTCTGGGGACCCAATGTATCCCTACTTAGCTTACTTTTCAAAGACAATTGTACAGATATTTGTAAAACTTTGAAGGAAGTTGTTATAGAAAACTAAAATATTTTACCAGATGCCCTGAGAGAATTCTTTTTTTTTTTTTTTTAAGATTTTATTTATTTGACAGAGAGAGACACAGCGAGAGAGGGAACACAAGCAGGGGGAGCGGGAGAGGGAGAAGCAGGCTTCCCGCGGAGCAGGGAGCCCGATGCGGGGCTCGATC